TAACATTTTTTTCCTAAAATAAGCATATTATTTGAAAATCATCTAAATAAATTATATTTTAACTTTTTATAGTTATTTCTCTGTTTTTGTTAGGTTTACAAAATAATTCTGCATTCATGATAACACTTCTATTTCTCCAGTGCTCCTCAGCCTATTGATATTTATGTCAAATAATTTTCTTTATCCAAATTTATTATTTTTCTGTGTGGAGTATTTATTTTCATTGCCAAAATACAAATTCATTAGAACCTCCACAGTATTTCTACTACTGGGACCACAAGTTGATATTAACTGAAATGTTTGCTTTTAAGCAAGTTGTAGTAGCTCTAAGTAAGCAGAACATGCCTGAAATGTATGTTTGTATAGATTATAATTGTTTTGCATTCTATCCCAGACAACTAAGATTAGACAACACTTTATTAGGAGCAATTATAATCATAAATAGGTTCCTAAAACTTGTATTTATGTGTATGAAATGTTATTTTCTCACACATTATTGAATTACTGTATTTTCTGACATACTATGTATGAGCCCTTGTTATTTTCTCAAACAAAATAGTCGGATTTGATGACTTTTTAGCATTATCAGAGGACATTTTTGATGCTGTATAGTATGGAGATCAGAGAAGCACAAAGAAAATCACCAAAATAAATGTTGCCTTAACTATGAAGTTTAGTACATGCATAGCAAATGTGTGTATGACTTCATTTTGTTACAGGTGTATGATGTTTATGTGTTTTACTATGTGAAGAATTATATGGTTAAGTCTGAATATCAGAAATTCTATTCCATCAATATCTTTTTAAAGTTAAGATTAAATTTGTTACACAAATAGAATGAATATTGTGTGTTGAGTCCAAAAACATGGGTTTCTTTAGATCTCTGTGATTTTTAGTTTCCTCTTTGAGATTATTAATTACTTCATAGTATTGAAGATTAAATAAATGATTTGAAATGTTTATTATGAATTCTATAAATGTAAGTAATAACCTGTTAGTTAAAAGTTGCTTACCTTAGCTTACACATTTACCTCAGCTTAAATGTTTGCCTTGCATTTGTATTAGGTTAACATATCAACTTTGGAACTATTCAACAGATACATAAGATTTTTCATAACTATCATTTTGTGGATAAATTAACTAATTATGAAATACATTATTTTAAAAAATTTCAATTGGCAGCATCATATAACAATTGGGCAAGTAATTAAAAAGAAATTGCTCTCCTTATTGCTTTATGATGTACTTGATAGAAATGCTTTTTCCCACTGCTTTCTTGACTTTGAAAATTACTTATATTCTTTTATATTAAAAAATATTTATTTACTATTTTAAAATGAATGCTTTATTTGTAAGAGTATGGTTTGATGATGCTAAGCTTTCAAATTTCTCCTACATAAGATACTGCAAATAAAAAAGTGGAAAACCATTTAGAAAAATCCTTCCCTTTGGCATTTATTGCACACATTCATAATTATGAGCATGCAGGTCATAAGTAAGCAGTCCACTTTCGTTTTATAGTTAGGGTTTAAAGATTTTCATCTAGTCAAGTGAAAAATAATTAATAGAAAATGGGAAACTACTACAATTTTTGTACTCTTCATGAATAATAGGTATTTGGTGTAGTAGCTCAGTAGTAAATTATTAGAAGAACCGAATTGTGAAATAATATCATATAATGGGTCAAAATTATTTATATAGTTACCAGTATAAGAATCAAGCATGTGGGTTCTTATTAATATACCATTAGCCTGGTCACACAATGAAAGAGAATGAAAGGGCAATTTTGAATGACATTTCTATCAACTTGGGAACTGTCAACCTCTATTATGTCCTTGGGGCTTTGCACTTTTTGGCTTTCAGACATCTGTGCTGCCTTGAATGGAGGAGTTCCAGCGAGTCTCTTGCTGTAATAAATGCTTTGGGTAGTCATTTTTCAGAATGTGCATGTAATAGTTCTTAGTGCTTACAGCTAAGCACATGACATTTCATATGCTTCCTGTCATCAGCACCTACATCTCTGCATCATCTTCATGAAGACCCTCATCCCCCTACACATGCAATCATGCTCTATTTCCTCTGTGCTCATAAATCTCTTCTGTTGCAACTCTGGGAATATATCCCTTCCTCTCTTTTTTTCTGCACTGTCAAGTGAAACAACCACCTTAATTTCTCCAAGTATCCCCTCAAAACTTTTGCAAGAGTTCTGAATACTGTCCAGGGAAGTTTTCAGGCTGTCTGGACAAAAGCTGGTAGTTTCATATAGAAAGTAGTAAGCAGGTACATTTGATAGAGGAAAAAGTGTCTAGAATATTTACGGCTGCATAGGTAACAGTAGGTCAAGCACCTGTCTGACAGGATATTTAGGCTGAATTATTGAGAAGAGAATCTGGATTGTAATCTTTATTGGTCTACTGAATGTCAGTAATATTTAGCTTATTATGTATAGGAATGCTTTCATTTATTAGTAGTAGTAGTATGTTATGCTTTGATAAAATTTTAAAAATGAGTATAACTGTGTATTTTTTAATGTAACATCCTTACATTGAGGAACATTTTTAAAAGTTTTTGAACCTTGATAATTTTTTTAAAAAATTATCTTCCTTTGTATTGTATACGGTGGCGGCTTTCAAATGTTAGTGTGCATCAGAATCATCTGGGAGTGCTTGTCTTTTTCTTACTTTTTTTATTTCTATTTTTTATTTTTTGAGAGAGAGAGAGCATGAGCGGGGAAAGGCAGAGAGAGGAGGACAGTGGATCCAAAGCAGACTCTGTGCAGACAGGAGAGAATCTGATGCAGGGCTTGAACTCATGAACCATGAGATCGTGACCTGAGCCAAAGGCAGACACTTAACTGACTGAGCCATCCAGGCAACCCTGAGAATGCTTGTTAAAATACAGGTTGCTAGAACCCACCTCCAAAGTTTCTAGAATAGAGAATTTGCTTTTCTAAGTTCCCAGGTGATCCTGATGGTACTGATCCAAGGATCATATTTGCAAACTACTCATCCATACTGTGGTATAGGAGAATACCCAGAAGGATGCAATACTTCCGAGTTTCTGTCAACCATAACGTCCTATAGAAGGATTATGGCTCACCAGCTCAACTGAATGTGCCAGATTGAAAAATTTAGGCATAATTTTGCCCCTGCTGTTTTAAAAATGCTAAAGTAAACTCTTCTTAATTATATAGTGAGCCAGCCATGGAATCGATTTTCCTTCTTTCCTTCCTTCCTTCCTTCCTTCCTTCCTTCCTTCCTTCCTTCCTTCCTTCCACACTTCTATGAATCCATATAAATTCAGTATAATGGTCACCGATTTATTACACATCTAATGTGATCATGATTGCCATTAGAATTCTCATAGATTTTCAGATTTTAAAAAATGTTAGTCATTTTTTTTCTAGTTTGTTCGTGACTTTCCTAAGTGCAGCTAACCATGGAATTTAATAACAATAAGCCACTTAAACATATAAACTTCAGGGGCGCCTGGGTGGCTTAGTCGGTTAAGCGTCCGACTTTTGCTTAGGTGTTGATCTCGCGGTTCGTGGGTTCGAGCCCCGCGACGGGCTCCGTGCTGACTGCCAGCTCAGAGCCTGGAGCCTGTTTCAGTCTGTGACTCCCTCTCTCTCTCACCCTCCCCTGTTCACGCTGTCTCTCTCTCTCTCCTAGGAAAAAAAAAAAAAAAAACGTTAAAAAAAATAAACTTCAGATTGATATCATATACCATTTTACCATTTATATAAAGTGATTTGTTTCAATGGTTTTTGGTATATACACAGTATATATACATTGTACACAGTAATATTTATTTTCATGCCATCAAATGGCACCATTTAATTATAAGTTGTTTCACTTCGGCAAGTTATCCTGCTACTACTGGTAGATATTTTATGTTCTTAACTCATGAAGATAGAGCAGTAGTTCAGTGCAAACTAAATTTTTATTCTACAATAAAAATGTAAAATTGTAGATGATGTTATCAATAAAATAAACATATGACATGATGTTTTAATTTTAGAGCACAAAAAAGGAATAAATTTTTCAGCCAAAAGAGTGATGTAATGTTAATATTATCTGATTCTTATAAATGATGTGGTAAAAATTTTAATGATAATTGTACATATAAATTTTATGTATGAAATTACAAGGGCTAATATAGCAAAGTATAAAACAGAATGTAAACTATGTAAACTTGACCTGTTTGAATAATGAATAATTGGAAATCACCATATTCGCTGAGTTAACTACATAAAGATCCTCCTACCACAACGTATTGATTGTGGTATATGTTGTAAAGAAAATCTGAACAACAATCTAGATTTAAAACATAATAAGGTTATGTGGTTAGAACAGAGTAGCATATAAATAAAGAGTACATATTGGTATAGTGTTAGTTATGATTAATTTCATGTTTAGATCAAATCCAAAACTGTTTCTGTGAGATCTAGGAGAAAAGATCATTTTCTAAGAAACTTAGAAAATTTCTTTCTTTGATGTATTTTATTTGGAGAGTAGTTCTGATCAGAGGTGCATACCATTTAACTCCTCCATCATGGATGTTCCAGGTTCTCTGCCTCAGTACCAAGCTATAAAGATGCTTGGGATTCAACCCCTATTCTTCGGATGAGAAAAGCCTATCTATATCATAATTGTACATGAATTATGTATTTTCTCCCAAAAAAATGAATAGTACAAGGAATAGATTTTTAAGAATATTTCTTACAGGTGACATCAGTTGTATACTTTCTGGATAGTTGAGTACATGTATATCTCAAGAAAGTATAAATTTGTACTTTATACAAAAGGGTTTTCATGATATGTAGTTGGAAGTGACGTTGTTGACAGCTAACCAAACACTGTGATGTTCAAGTTGAATGTTAAGATCACTAATTGGTAGAGTAATTGGATGGGAAATGCCAGGCTGTATACCTGTGTTTTTCTAGGCATTTTTTGACCAGCCTTTCCTTATCACAGCTCATGTTCTAATGATCATTGCAGGATGAAGTGGCACAGCCACTGAACCTATCAGCTAAACCCAAGACCTCTGATGGCAAATCACCCACATCACCCACCTCTCCCCATATGCCAGCTCTGAGAATAAACAGTGGGGCAGGCCCCCTCAAAGCCTCTGTCCCAGCAGCATTAGCTAGTCCTTCAGCCAGAGTTAGCACAATAGGTAAGTTCTGTTTCTTTTGTTCTTGCTGATTTTCTGTTTATGGCAATTGAATGAAATCATCTTTTAATGGTGAATCACGCATACCATGTGCATGGTTTTAGTTCAATAGGAGAGTTTCAATTTGGTGAACTTCATAGGTCTGTCTTAAACATGAAAATGAAATTTATAACTGAAGTCCAAGTTATACTGTCCCCCTGAAAAGCTAATTGAACTGGTTATGTTTGTGGATGTAACACATGTTCTTCAGCTTATTTAAAAAAAAAAAAAAAAAAAAGGGCCCAGGAAAGTAAAGTTTCCAGAATGTTGTTGTTAGGTGACTTGCCTTTTCCATCACTGAAATATATTTCCATTCTTTTGTGATGTGTACAAACTGTCCATAATGATGAAATACATTATATCTAGATCAGCAGTCACCCATCAGGATATGAAGTTTCATCAGTTCCATACTGCTTGAGTATTACTTGAACACACTGAAGTATTATAAAAAGTACAGAGCTTCATTTCTCCAAAAATTGTCATTTTTGTTGAGAAGTAAATAAATACCAGAAAAATGCTTCTATAAGATGACTTTAAAAATTCTAATAATTTTTACTATAGTAACACATAAATTAGACTAGAAATACTTCAGTCCACATTTATTGATATGTTTATTATTTGCATATAGTTATATGGAGACTACCACAGACAAGCCTTTCAAGGAGCTCAAGGTTTAATTAGGGGAAAAGTCATCCATCTCATAGCCATACAGAGTGTTATTTCAGAACACAGATACAACCTGGTAATCAAAAAGGAGTATAGGATTCTATTTGGGAAGGATCAAGGAAGGCTAAATTGGGGATAGCTTAATTCAAGTAGAGTCTTGAGGAAGAGAGACATTCCTAAGCATTTTAGCCTTTAAGAAAAGATCCAGAGCAAAATAGCATATTTTTGAGAAATGCATTGATTTGGCTAGAATATGGAATGAGTGTGTAGTGGAAAGTGATCAGGGCTAAAACTGAATAGAGCAGATGGAATCTGACTGAATGCTATCCTAAGAAATTTGACTTTTTCTCCAGACCGCAATCTGATCAGAACTTTAAGAAGAGTATTGGCAGCAGGGAAAGATTGGAATCAGGGAACCCACTGCTTTAGTATAGGACAAGAGTTAGTTAGTTCCATGAAAGGAAAATAAGCAATGATAAAACAAAGGAGAGAATAGGTTGAGGAGATGTTAGTGAAGAAGAGTTGATATAACGTACCCTCAATAGAAAGTACTTAGTGAGGTTCAAGTTGAACACAGAAGAGTCTAGAATTTTTAATTCATAAAATAAGAATGATAATACCTCCCTTAACCATGAAAGAGAAGACTAGAGTGGAAGCAGATTACGAGAAAGACATAAATGTAAATATTTAGTAAGTGTTAAAAGACAAGGAGCCATTTAGGTAGACATGTTCAGGAGGAAACTAAATAGGTCTGATATGTAAAGGTTTTTGCCAGCATTTTAGTTGTCGAATTACATATGGTATAAGGGTATTAAGAGTATGATTATTACAATGAGCATAGAGTAATGTATAGAATTACTAAATCAATATATTGAAACCAAGTGTAGAATTATTAAATCACTGTATTGAAACTAATATAACACTGTATGTTAGCTATACTGGAATTAAAATAACAAAAGAAAATGAAAGCCCTAATTTGAAAAGATATATGTACCCCTCAAAAGGAAGTTCTCCAGAAAAGAGTGTGTATAATAAAAAGACAAGTGGGATAAAGAATCATAGGTATCACCTACTGTATTAGTTATCTATTAGTGCATATCACATTAACCCAAAACTCAGCAGCTTAAAATTACCAACATGCATTATCTCAGTTTCTAAGGATCAGAACTTGGAAACGCCTTAGCTGGGTGGTTCTGGGTTAAGGTCACATGGTTGTAGTCAAGATGTTAGGCAGGGCGGCAGTCATCTATGGGCCTTACTAGGGATACATGTTTCAAGATGTCTCACTCACATGGTTGTTGGCTGGTAGGTCAGTTCTTTGCCTTGGGAGTCTTTTCATAGGGCTGCTCATTGCATGGAAACTAACTTTCCCCAGTGTGGGTGATTGAAGAGGGAGAGCAAAGAGAAAGCCACAGTGCCTTTTATAACCTAGTCTCAAAAGTCACACACAGTCCAGTCTGCCTTATTCTTTTCATTATAGAAGAATCACAAGTGCAGCCCAACTCAAGGGAAACAGTATTAGGGTCCAGCTCTGAAGGAAGGAATATCAAACGATTGTTGGATACATTTTAAAACCACATGCTTTTCTAGAGGGAAAACTGATAAAGAGCAAGTTAATGCCTTAGAATAAGAATAAAGATAGGAAAATGCTAGCCTAGGAGAAATGAAAAGTTATGAGAGGAGGGGTTATTTGATGGTGACCCATTTGGCAGAAAAGTTTCAAAAAAAAAATGAAAAAGAAAAGCCTTATGATTTAACTGGAGCTAATGGAGAGGTAAACTCTGATGGAGAAGTTTTAGGAGAATGCCTTAGGAGAATTTGAAGACTATGAGGAAAGAAAATGCAGTTGATATATAGACTAGTCTTTTTGTAAGCTTAGTGTTGAGAAGTGATTATTTTAAGAAGACTGAGTAGAGACAGATTTTAAAATGGGACAGTCATTCATATATATATGATAATATATATAGTCAAGGGGAAGAAGAGTCAGAGAGAGATAAAGATATGAAGGAGAGCACAGACGATGGTGGAAGAGATCATGAGAAAGGATTAACCTTGGAAAGGAGCAAAGCCCTTCCTTTATCTGAGACTGAATGAAACGAAGGAGAAAAGGGTAAAGTTACAGGGAAATTGTGGGATGGACAGAAAAAAGGCTGACGGAATGTATCTCAAATGCTTCAATCTCCGCAGAATAGAATTCCAGATTATTTGCCACCAGGAAGCCAGTCGGGGGCAGTGGGGCAGCAGTGAGAAGAGAAACTCAAAATTTAAGTTTTGAGAAGTTTTAAAAAGGTTTGGGGTTCACGTGTGCTTTTTATCATTATGAACCATTCTGTTATGGTCTAACTCAGTTACTCTGCTCAACATGTTAAATGGACTCCAAGATAAGGTTTGCTTTCATGTCCTAAGTATGTAAAAGAAAAAATATTTTATTTGGCAGGAATGATTCACTTCCATAATAGACACAAACCTTGTAAATATCACAGCACTGGTCTATGAGCTACTTTTGTAACATCACTAGAACTGGAATATTTAACTAACAAAATAACTAATAGATTTGTATTTTTCTCACATAAGAATTTTTTTTACTTCAGCATTCCAGGGATTAAGTGTGACAAAATATCTTAGAAAGGCAAGAATGTATTCAATGACATTTATCATTTGACTTTGTCCACTACTAAAACTTCTCTTACTTTTTTTCCCTTAAGAATCCCTACGTACTACATATACATCCCTCATATTTTCCAAGGATGTGAGGCCACTACAATTTACTTTTCTCTTTTCAGCAAATGCAGATGTTGAAAGCTGAAACTGTAATGAGTAATAATGTCATTGGATAAAAGCTATGAACATTAACAGTGTTGTAAAGGTCACCGCTGAAAGAAGAATTAATGTGTGATGCCATTAATAAACCAAGGAAAACTGTGAACTAAAAGTAACTTAAGTTACCATTAATGACATGGGCTCTTTGCTACATATCTATTAGCTACAAATAGAGAAAGTGAGTTTTTGAGGTTGGAGACCAACCTCACAGTATATACTCTGTAAGAATGCCTTTGCTATGGTACACGAAGGATAGGTTGCTCCTAGATCCTTAAAAGGTATGAATGGGTCAGAAGAATGATGGATAAGTTTAGAATCTTGTGACTGAATATTATCTTTCTTCTATTGGCCTTTTTCACCTATGTTGTATATATATATAATACTTCTAACATTTTTCACAGAATTTTAATCTATTCTCACTTAAGCTGATTTTAGAATTACACACCCTTAAACAGAGCAGATATCCATATCATCTAGTCAAAACTTGTTATTTTACAGATAAAGAACCAGGGCCTAAGGAGGCTAAGTGCTTACCCAGGGATTCTAAGTGAGTTCCTGTCACAGTGTAGATGGTTCTGTGACTCTGTTTATTTCTTCTGTTTTAATTTCAAGGAAACAACTGTACATGAAGACCTAGTAACTTGGCCAAACTGACAGCCAGTGGAGGTTGAGGCCATAGGATCATGATCTCTGGCTGGCATGCTCTCTTTTCAGCCTATGGGTAGTGTTTCCCCATTAGATGCTCTTTTCAATCATTTCTCTATCCTTTCATTTAATAAATAGGTATTAAATGTGTTCTCTATGTCATACATTTGGCAGGATGATGCACAGATGGAAGTTTGGAGGAAAAGCAGATAAAAGTCTTAGAGGCTGTAGATGCCTACAGTCTTGTTCTATTAAGTCTTTGGAAGATACTAGAATGTTTATTCTTACCCTTTATTCCTCAGAGGCATTAACACATGAAAAGTAAAACTTTGCTGAGCAAAAGTAGTAGACTCACATGGATTCAATAAGGTGAAAAAAAATGTTTTCAAGTTCAAAGGAGGACATTACCTTAAAATTTCATTGGTTTACAGTTTTAATGAGAAAAACTACTATGAGGGTAGGTTATTGGACAAAAATATTGTAATACTGTAATAGAAAGCCATTGGATTGTCAGGAAGTTGAGGGTATTATTCAACATCTGGCAATTAACATTTGCATAACACTTCACAATTTACAAATTGCTTTCACATTTATAATCTAATTAATTCTTGTGAGTTTTCACAGATGAAGAAATGGCTACATATCAGGGTGCCAAAAGTTTGATGATGATAAGTGACCTCAACAATCGAAAGAAAATTAATATTTGTTGAAAATAACTTGAAACACATGTGCCCTTGCTTTCACTTACAGCTGAAAAGCCCTATGAAAAATAAATATGTAGTAAATAAGAATTTGTATTGCCTTCATAGCATCTGTTAAATCCATGAATTTAA